CTGATAGGGGTGGGGTGGTAATTTTTTTTATTTTTTTTTTTACATTTTTTTGGGATAGGTAGGGGATGGAGTGAAGTGATTAAAAAAACTTTAATTTTTTTTGTTTTTAAAGCTCTTAACAAGATTTCTATTATAATATGGGTAACTATGGTTACCCATATTATCCATTGGGTAACTTGTTTTTACCCATTTAAAATGTGAGTCGAGTCGAGTAACTTATCCATTTTTATTTAATTCGTTTTTTGATCGACTCACTCGACTCGCTCGTTTGCCACTCCTAGTTATAACAAAAAAAAAAAATGTTAAACAATGGATTGAAAATACATTTTGTGAAAGAGTTGTATTTGATATCAAGAGAACGGTGGATGGTCTTCAAACTTCTTTTTGGATCTGACCGAATCAGAGCTCTTCAGAGATATTAAGTAGTAAACTTTTAAAAAAAAAAACAAATGCACTTAATGATCCAATGTCTGAACCATTTAGATTCAGATCCCATTAAGTGCAAACAAATTAGGCCTACATGTCTATTTGTGCACAACAAAAGTTGAAGGATATAAATATGAGCTGCAACCAAATTAAATAACATTTTTACAGATAAAGTTTTTACTTTTAATTTGTCATCCAATTTATTTGAAAATCAAGTTTATTGTGTTTTGAACACAAAAGTAGAAAAAAATCGAGCTAAATAACATGTATATTAACATAAAAGAATCCGCTCCCTAGCTAGTATTTGCCAACCACAAGGGTTGACCTTGAAGAGTTTGAGAATTAAAGCAAACTTGAATGATTTTATTCATTGCTTACATCTGCTTAAATACAAGTAAATGCAACTAACTTGACTAAATTGAAGGAACCAACTCTACTAGCTTTAAGCAACTAATCTAACAACTTAATCTTATCTAAAAGATTAGTTGACTTATTCAAACTAATTCAAAATTTAAACTTAAGATACTAACAAATAGATAACCACATGTTTATCTCAATACACCCCCCTCAAGTTAGGTGTGGTGCAACAACACCTAACTTGGTTAGACATCGAAGAAAGGCAGGTTTGGGCAGCGGCTTGGTTAGAGTGTCTGCTACTTGATCTATAGAAGGAAGATATTTGACAGTCACTTTGCCGGAGTTCACACTGTTGCGAAGATAATGAAAGTCTACCGCAATGTGTTTCATCTTAGTGTGAAAAACTGGATTCTTGCTAAGATATGATACGTCAATGTTGTCACAGAAAATACTTGGCGTGTTTGATATGTGGTACCTCAGTTCATCCAAGAGGTTTTGGACCCATGTAAGCTCCGCGAGTGCATTGGCGACCGATTTGTATTCAGCTTCTGTGGATGATCGAGCAACTGATTGTTGTTTCCTGGAGGACCAAGATATGGGATTTGGTCCCAAGAAGAGCATATGACCCGATGTTGAGATTCTGTCACTGGGATCACCTGCCCAGTCAGCATCAGCATACATATACAAATTCCTATCAGCATGATGACGAATTTCCAAGCACGATGTTGTTGTTGACTTGAGGTAGCGCAGAACCCTTTTTACAGCCTTCCAATGTTCCAGACTTGGAGAATGCATAATCTATTCCCAAGAAATAATTAAGTTCACCAAGATTCTTTAGTGAGAACCTGCTAGCCAAAGAGTTGATGACCTGCGCAACTAAGTTTGGATGGTTCCCAGTAATGAGAATATCATCCACATATACTAAAATGTAAACAGTAACAGCCAGGGATTTAAAAATGAACAGTGAGGCATCTGATTCGGACTTAACAAATCCAATAGTATTCAAATAAGCCGTGAGGGCCTCATACCAGGCGCGCGGGGCTTGTTTTAGGCCATAAATGGCCTTTTTAAGGCTGCATACATGATCTGGAAAATCAGAATTGACATAGCCTTTTGGCTGAGCCATGAATACCTCCTCTTGTAAGTTACCCTGTAAAAAAGCATTGTTCACGTCAAGTTGGTGAACCTGCCAGTTATTTTGGACAGCAATGGACAGAACAATTCTAATGGTGGTTGGTTTGACCACTGGACTAAAGGTTTCATGAAAGTCCAATCCCGGACATTGTGTAAAACCTTTTGCCACTAAGCGCACCTTATACCTATCAATAGAACCATCAGTTTTTCGTTTAATGTGAAACAACCATTTACAGTCAACAATATTTTTCGTCGGCTCCCGAGGAACTAACTCCCAAGTTTGGTTTCTCATTAGTGCTTCATATTCTAAATCCATGGCTTTCTTCCATTCGTTGTGCTTAACAGCTTGTTTAAAGGTGTTTGGAGTGGGGGAGAGATGAGCCAAGAAGGTGAATCGTTGTGTTGGTTTGAAAATGTTATTTTTGGACCTTGTGATCACACCAGATGATGTGTTCATGGTGGGAGGAGGGTTTTGTGGATGCTGGTTTGATATTTTTGAAGGGTGATTATGAGTGAGTGCTGGAGTAGAAGTGGCATCTGCAAGATTATTATATAGACGAGACGAAGAGGAAGAGATGGGGAAAATACCTGATTGATGAAGATTTGCTGGTAGTTGGCCTTCCGTCATGGACTCTTGATTATTTGAGGATGAGTTCAAATCTTGTGGATAACTAGAAGAAGATGGGATTGATAAGGAGATAGGGATAGGTGGCAGAAGAGTTGGAACAAGGTTGGAGTCCAAAGTCTGTTGATTTTTTGAAGTCTTTTCTGAATGGGATTCTATTATTTCCCAGTTTATCTTGGAAAATTTATTTTTTAACTGTGAGAACATGGTGGTAAAAGGAAAAATAGTTTCAAAAAATTGTACATCACGACTAACAAATACCTTTGAATTTACTGGATCAAAACATAGGTGTGCATGATGAACAATTGAAACTCCTAAATATACGCAAGGCGTGGATCTTGGTTGAAATTTATTTTGAGTATATGGTTTGAGCCATGGATAACAGAGGCAACCAAAATATTTTAGCGAAGAGTATTTTGGGGTTTTGCCAAATAATTTTTGATAAGGAGACTCATTATTTAAACCAGGAGCAGGAAGTCTATTTATTAGATAGACTGCATGGTGACAGGCAAAGGACCACAATTCAGGTGGAAGTGAGGCTTCATTGAGAAGAGTTTTTGCTGTTTCGACAATGTGACGATGTCGTCGTTCAGCTATGGCGACTCGTTGAGGAGTGTAAGGTGGTGAAATTAAATGCTCAATACCCTTTTGTTGTAGGTAGTGTTTAAGACCCATGTATTCACCCCCGCCATCGATATAAACAGAGGCAATTTTGTGTTTGACAATTTTTTCCACCAGAGGATGAGATTTTTCAAAAATAGTGGTAACTTCACTTTTATTTTTTATTGTATACAACCAAATATATTTGGTGTAGTGATCAACAAAGATGCTAGCTTCAACTTCCCTTTTATTTTTTATTGTATACAACCAAATATATTTGGTGTAGTGATCAACAAAGATGCAGTAATACAACTTTTTATCAATGGATAAAACGGGTGATGGACCCCATAAATCACTGAATAAAGTTTGTAATGGAGCATTGCTATTAAAAGTGAGTTGTTGAAATGGCAAACGATGAGCTTTATTGGATGAACAAGAATTACAAAACTCAAACTTTTCTTTGCTAGAAGTAGGAAGTGAAAATTTATTTAGGACAAAATCTAGAATTTTCAAATGAGGATGACCAAGGCGACGATGCCACAGTTGTCGAGAGACTTTGATGGAGGTGAAATTGATGGAGGGAAGATTATGACGCATATGTGGCCACTCATAAAGTCCATTTTTGTTCCGGCCTCGTACCAGTAGTCTCCGAGTTTTGAGGTCCTTCACATGAAAAGAGTATGGAAAAAATTCAACAGAGGTTAGATTGTCACTACAAAACTTGGCAACTGAAATGAGATTCTTTTTTATAGAAGGAGCACAAAGAGTGTCGGAAAGCATGAAATTAGCATTAGAAGCTTTTATTTGAGTTAAACCAGTATGAGTAATAAGAATAGTTTTACCGTCACCCATGGACACTTTCTCATTGCCAGTGTATTCGTCAAGATTGTCCGAATCTGTCGTTACATGATGTGTTGCTCCAGAATCAAGAATCCAAGGATTTGCATCTGGGTGATGATTCGACACAAAATTAACCTTTGCTTCAAAGTGATTATGTGACTTTGAGCGACACACATCATCCATGTGACCAATCTTTTGGCACAATTGACATTTCACAGCTTGTCTTAGTTGTCTGCCACTTTGTGGGTTGTCAGTGGACTCTTGTCGTTGGCCTGATGATTTCCATGATTGGTTGGAGAAGCGACGATTGTTCTTGTATTGTTGAGGCGATGATTCGACACAAAATTAACCTTTGCTTCAAAGTGATTATGTGACTTTGAGCGACACACATCAGCCGTGTGACCAATCTTTTGACACAATTGACATTTCACAGCTTGCCTTGGTTGTCTACCACTTTGTGGGTTGTCAATGGACTCTTGTCGTTGACCTGATGATTTCCATGATTGGTTGGAGAAGCGACGATTGTTCCTGTATTGTTGAGGTTGAAAGTTGGTCCTTTGTGCAACTGCAGCAGTGATGGTTGAGGACGATTTTTCAAGATCTTGGTGTTTCAGGAAGAGTTCCTGGTCCGTGAGTTTGTGGAATAGTTCCTCAAAGCTTAAGGCTGTATCTCGTGCTCTTATGGCGGCAGAGATCTCACGATACTCAGGACCCAAGCCACTCAAGATCTTGACAGCGAGTTCTTCATCAGCTACTGGTGAACCAACTACTTTGAGAGCATTAGCAATTGATCTAATTTCTTGTAAGTAATTAGCAACAGACCTGTTGGCCTTTTTCAAATTTTGCAACTGATCTCGCAGGCTGAAGATGCGAGTGTGACTCCTGTTGGCATACGCCATATGAAGGAGTTCCTAGGCCAGTTTAGCCGAGGAAGCCGTTGCAACCGTGGGAGCAATGGTAGGATCGACTGATGTCATCATTGCCTGTTGGATCAGTTGATCCTGGCAGAACCACATTTCAAATTCGGGATTTTCGATAGTGGTATCATTATGAGTGATGGTGGATGGCGGAGCAGGTTTTGCTCCAGTGAGGTGCCTAATGAGTTTGTGTCCGTTGAGCAGCATCACCAATTGTGCTTTCCATGTTGCAAAGTTAAGATTACCTTGCAGTTTGATAGGTAATTGGGCAGTGAGATTAAATTGTATCAATTGAGGGATAGGAAGACCTGTAGTGCCATTGTTGCCGGTGGTAGCAGGTGGACACATAGTATAGCTTAGTGAAAAAAATGGAGCAGACTCGTGAGAGTTTAGAGAAGCTCTGATACCATAAAGAGATTGAGAATTAAAAGAAAACTTGAATGATTTTATTCATTGCTTACATCTGCTTAAATACAAGTAAATGCAACTAACTTGACTAACTTAAAGGAACTAACTCGACTAGCTTTAAGCAACTAATCTAACAACTTAATCTTATCTAAAAGATTAGTTGACTTATTCAAACTAATTCAAAATTTAAACTTAAAATACTAACAAATAGATAACCACATGTTTATCTCAATAAAAAGGATGGTGACTTCATTAAAGCAATTTGTGAAGATAAAATTGATCGATTAGTAGAAGTCTTACCAATCAAATGGCTCTTTGATCAATTCAAATTCTTTTCAATTAAAGAAATGCTAATTGTGCTAAACTAGTTCTTTGTACTTATTTTCCATTTTAATTGTCCATCTTATAAATTAATTAATTAAGAAAACTACTTCTTTTGGAGATATTTTAAAGTCAGGAATCTGAATCAAATTCTAGTCCATTATCTATAAGATGAGTGTCCATTTTAATTGTCATATTGCACTTTTCGAAAGTCAAATTGACTAATTTTTATAGTGAAGTTAGATTACATTGAATCGATATTTTAAACAAAAAATTTAGATATTCAAAAACTATACAAAAAGTACTATAAATCGCATTTTTTTTTCATATCGATATGATAAAAAAAAATACATCATAAAACATCAGTCTAAGTTTGTATTGTTTGACTCTGAAAAAGAAAATCATAACAATTAAAAGGGAATGGAGGAAGTATCTGACCAAAAATAACTCTAAGTAGGTCAACTCACATAATCATTTGAATACTCAATAACCTTGAAATTAGTTTTGATGATTGACAAACAAAATTTATGTTTAAAAGAAAACCAACGACAGTGTTTCCATTTTTTTTCTTTTTAAAAATCTACGAACATCTATCGATTTTAAAGTTTAAAATTGTAATTAAAGAGCATTAATAAAAGTTATGGATGTATTTGATCAACCAATATGAATGCTCCAGTGGTAGAACTGTTGATTCCCAGTTGAAACAATTCATTTTGGTGTTTTCTTTATAATTTATTAAAGGCATAATACATAAATATGTCATTTAACTTGGTTTCAGCTGACATCTATGCCTTTCAACTTTGAGTTTGCACAAGTAGACACTTAAATTTGTATAAAATTGAAGAAATATACACATTCATCCTACATGACAATTTTGTGTCCTGTGTGGTAGCCTACGTGTACTATGGCATGTGGAACATGTGTGTTTACTTGTGGAGTTTCATACAAATCTAAGTGTCTATTTATGCACACCCAAAGCTTCTTGTGAAAAAATTTATTGTGTTCTTAGATTCTCTAATTTAGTAATTTAATTCTTGTGGAGATAAGGAATTGATCAATTTGTAGAAGACTTTATCACTCAAATGTCTCTTTGATCAATTCAAATTCATTTCAATTAAACAAATGCTAATTGTGTTGGACTAATTCTTTTGTACTTGATGTGTCCTTTTAATTATCCATCTTATAATTAAATAAGCAAACATCCAACGTAATCCTTGAACAAATCAAATGGAATAAAGTTGACAACATGAGATTCCAACACTATAAATACCACCATTTCAATTATTTGTGTTGTCACCAAAAAATAAACAAAAAATAAGAGCTATGGCAAAGTACACTACTTTTCTTGCCCTCCTCTTTTGCCTCTTCCTTGTTGCTGCAACTGGTGAGTCGACATGATTCTATAGCTACAAATATAATGATTTGTTTAAAATTACAAATTTTTAAAATATATTTTTCTTATTAAATTTTGTGACCAATCAAACATGATTATATAGCTACCAAATAGAATGATTTGTTTAAAATTATGAATTTTTAAAATATTTGGGAAATAAAATTTGTTTAGAAATTATGATAAATTTTCTATGTCAAGTACATAACATGATTTTCCAATTTTCTCATTTTTGCAGAAATACAAATGGCAGAAGGGAAATATTGTTGGAAAAAAGAGTGACAAGTGGAATGGGCCTTGTCAATACTCTTACAAATGTAGTTATCATTGCAAAACACTATTATGGAGCTAAATATGGTATATGTAAGAAGTACAAACCATGGGATCACAAATATTACTGGGCAAAATATGCTTGCTACTGCTACTCACCTTGCCACTACTAAGAATCTTTCAGTGTCTCATGGCTTGGTTTTGATTATGTAAACAAATAATTAAGAAGCTACCTATTTTATGTGTGTAACAATGTAATAAGGATGATTTATGTGTGCACCTATTTTGCCCAAAGCTTTGCGTGATGAATAAATGTATTGTATTATATTCAACCAACATGAATGCTCTGCTGGTTGAACTGTTTTAATGCCATGGTTCACACATAGGTTTTATTCCCGATTGAAACAATTCATTTTGGTGATTTTTTTTTTATAATTTTCTAAAACAGACGAAGTTCCTCGGTCTTATAAGAGGGGCAATTGTTGTTTTTTTACATCAGTTACCTACTAAAAGTGTGATTTATATATTTTATATAATTGACAAGCGTTACTCCGTTTTAACCTAGACAGTGCCCTAATATTTTTCTACCGTGACACCATTTATTGATGTTATAAAGTCTATCCATTATTCTCAATTTTGACCTATAGCTAACGTATGTCTGTCGATTTTGACGTTTTTTAGTTTTTTTTTTTAGTATATATATAGTGCAAGTGCAAGAAAAATTATTTGTGGACTAAGCACGGATCAGAGCAAGGAACTCGTGTTCAAGTAGAATTGGAATCCCTAATGAAACTTGGTTTGGTTTTGGACAATAAAGTGTAGAAGATTTAAATTTGACTCAACAGTTCCATATAAAGCACAACATTGATGCTATTGAGACTTATGTTAGATGTTGTAAAAATATCTTGGATTAACTAGGACACAATCGCACGCAAAGAAAATAGATCAGAGAAGAAAATTAACACGAGAATTTAGCGAGGTTTTGCTAGGCCTAATCCTTCAAGCAAAAGCAAAGAGAGTTTTCTACTATGAAAGAAAAGAAAGAGTGTACAATGTTCTAGCTCTATGCAATCACTAACACCACAATATATTTCTGCTATTGCCTTTTCCTTTTGACTATCTAGTGAGACAATTCATTGAATGCCACATTACTACTAATAATTGATCATGGAGTCTTTTGATCTATGAACCATAACTTGTAACCTTTTACTCTACTTGATACTCTAGTAATATTCACTATTTTTCCCTCGGCTCAAGTTTTCCATCCCTTACACAAGCATACGTAGGATAACCAAACATCCTTCAAATAATCAGCAGTCAGGCAAACTGGACCGAAACTTAAAGCAATTTTGAACTCAATAGTTGTCTATTGATCAAATAACAAGTTGTATTAATTACTTCGGCCCAAAAATTCTTGCTAACAAGTCTAGAATAAAGTCTACCCTTCATGAGTACTATGGAGACTTTACACACTTTAAGGGCATGTTTGGAAGGACACCCTGATAATTGGATTTGGTGTAATTACACTGTATTGTCTTGTTTGGAAGGACATGTAATTACTTGGTCAGCAGGTAATTAGTGTAATTGACAGAGGGGTAATTACACTCTACAATTCACAGGCAGAGGCTGTGAATTGCTGGTAATTACATGGTGTAATTACCACATGATTACTTTTTTATTTCTTTCTATTTTTATTTTTTAGTTTTAATTTTTTTTACTTCTATTATTTTAAGTTCTTTTTTTTATTATTATTCTAAAAATTTGTAAAAGTTTATTTTTTTATTTTTATATTATTATATTTCATTTTCTTCTTGTTCTCAATCTTACTTTACGTGATTCTATGTAATTTTCTCGTATTATCTATTTCTTTATGCCATGCTTATTAATGTCATTTATAAAGTTTCTTATTTGTCTAGTATAAATTTTAAATAATTAATTTTTTATTTTTAAAATTTATTATAAATTTATAATTGCAATTGTGCATCCAAACAGAACATGTGTAATTACACTGTGACATCCAAACATGACATGTGTAATTACAGTGTAATTACACTGTGGCAACCACAACATGTCAGTGTAATTACTAGACAGTGTAATTACTAGACTGGTAATTACTACCCTAGTAATTACACCAATTCCAATTACCAAGTGGCTTTCCAAACAGACCTAAGTGTTTCATTCTCCAAGTGAAAATTATACCCTTGATCATCCAATGTCGAAAGAGAAATCAAATTCCTCTTCATTCAAGGAACATGCCAACACTTAATATTTCTGATAAAGCTAACAAACATTCTCAATTTGATATTACCAACGCCCTTTACATCTAATGAATTATAATCACATCGATTAATAATCTCACTTGTCTGTTTGTATGTTGCAAACCAATTCTTGTGTAGACATATGTCAACAATTTCACCAGAATCAAGAATCCAAGAATTGTGCTTATGATCAGAATTCACATCACAAATGTTTGTAGAGTAATCAACTTTCTGCTTTCCTCTTTTATTTTTTTTGTTTAGGTCAATCTCTTTTGTAGTAACCCTACTTCCACCACTCATCGCAATTTTGCTTCCTTGCTCTAGACTTCGATCTG